CTACATTGACTTTGAAACCTCTTCAACTTCAACACTACCTTCAACATCAATTTTGGAATAAACTTCAACACCACCGTGAATCTCAACACTATCATCAGACTTGACACTCGCACAAACCTTAACCCAGCTATCAATCTCGTCATCACCGATAATATCAACACAGCCATCAACTTGAATACCGCCTTCAACAGCATAACAATGTAAATCTTCTTTAGGTTCTACCGTATCATTAATTGCAAAACATTCGTCGTCAAAACCATCAATTTTTTTCCCTTTGCTGTTTTCAATGACGGCTAAGACCATGTCCACCTTGCCTAATCACCAACTTGGTGAATGCACAAAAGTGTTAAGCCTCTTAAATATAACAACATCCATCAACCTCCCGAAAAAAAAAATACAGTGAAATTTTCAGTGGAAACAAAGCTCTAACATTAATATTTATTGTCGACAATAAAAATGATTGTTATAATGTTGTACTCTTCCGAAAACGGCAAAACTGCTACCTAGATGTACGATGAATGTACATAATAAAATGTTGTTACAATGTTTTTTATCGTATTTTTCATTTATTTTATTGTTAACATGATTCGATCATGAACAATAATGAACTACTCTATTACAATAAAAATTGTTGTTACATTAAATATTGGTGTATTTTCATTGTGGGTTACTTCACGAACAATCTGATTGAAGCATGCAGACTATGAGAGGGTCAGCAACACTGCCAATGTAATTAAGATAGGCGCTGCTCGTATGGCTCTGGCTTTGACAGTTCGTTTGGCTCAAAACCAGGCAGTCCGCGTCCGCTCATATCTTATCCTAGACCCTCTCTAAAGCTTAATGGAGACCTTTTCCGTGCAGTCAATACAATAATAATAAAAAAATTCCACCACTTGAAGATGTCAGGAAAGAACTCTCAGGTGGAAGCATATTTCATGGGCGATTCTCTCCAGTCGAATGCATTAACTTATCAACGACGCTCAACCACCAAGGAGACGTGACCTAGGGATATCGAGCGCAGGGGAGTTGGCCTGCATTTCTCACAAGTTCCGGATCGAATCTCGATCCATAACCAGTAAAAAAAGGACCACCCGTAACAGCCATAAGACTAATAGGTTTCAAGCAAAAGTTTCTAATATTGTTTAAACTTCACGTCATCATCAACTTAAATTTTGCCATAAACTTCAACATAACAACACTATTGTCATTAACTTCAAGATTACCGTGAATATGGCGCAGTCGGTAGGATCTTTGTCCACCGAAGGGGTTTATGTAAGCCAATGAACAATCTGTGTTCTCTTGAAAATTTCATTGATTGTTTGCAAAATTATTTAATTTCAATGTAATTTCATGAAAATTTCTTGTCAGCATGGATGAATCTTGTACAAAATGCATAAAACTATTTTGTAATGCATTGTTCTCAAATAAAAAGCTACTTCAAGACTTATAAATTACTGAAAACATGTTTGTCGTAACCTGACCGAGGTTTCTAGCCTCGGTCATGTGTCGCAACAAAGACCTACCGAGAACAAGACGCACAACCGTGCGCTACAAGATTGGTTAAATGACTGATTCAAGATTCAATCATGTACAAAGACGAAACAGTGAAGCTTCGGTTTGTTCCCACATTGCATGTATGTGTGCGTTTCATTGATTATCAAATCAACGCTACACCCTGACTCAACCATGCTCAAATCGTTCGTGACATTATTGTACGACTACACGCTGACACAAATTTACTCAACTTGAGTGTGGTGCTATACAACTCAACTTTTTTTTTTTATATTCAAATAATTAGTTACCATTATTTACCTTGATTATTATTCTATACCAACTCTATCTACCACAGTAGATACTTGTTCACTAAAATGGATCCATGTAATTATTTTGCTCAAGTCATTTAATTTCGTTACAAATTTAGCTAATAAACAAATCTGCACATGTTCGTCACTGACACCATTGTCATTGACAATTGACATGGTTTGCCTTGACTATGACTCTTAGCTAAAATGAGTGACCAAAGCAGAATTCAGTGCCAACATTTCAAAGGGGCGTAATTGCTTTTGTAAGCAATGACTTTAGTCATCAATTTCTCGCGAATGAAATCTTACCTCTCCAAAATAACAATGCTAGCTGGTAGAGGAAACATTCTTCTACCTGCTGGTGTCATTATTTTTCATGAGTGAGCTTTTATTCGCAAAAAATCGACGGCTAAAGCCATTGTTTACAAATGCAATTACGCCCCTTTGAAATGTTGGCACTGAATTGTCAATATCACCGTGTACTGTCGAGATTTTGCAGCACTGCTCCCAACACAGTTTACCCATTTTTGGGTAGGTTCAGTTTTGACCGATCTGGGTGGATTGTACCCAAATATGGGTAGCTTCCCTAATAAAAATGGTATGGTTATTTTGCTTAACGACGTGTTCGGGGTATCATCCAAACCATTTGTGGAAAAGTTCGACTATTTGGGTTATCGTTCGTTTATGGTATTTGTCTATTAGGGTTTGTAATTGCGTGCAGATTCCCCTTGGGCCCCTCCAATAAAATTTTCTAGCTACGCCAATGAACAGCGCTCACAAATTGGCGCCTTTTTTTTCCATAAAAACTATTAGCGAATTAGTTTATTATTCAGTTCCAACCTGGATCGGGTATCAGGATTGGGTCTGCTTGTTTTCTGACAAACGTCAGTTTGCTCGTTTGTTTTTAAAACCTAACTCAGGTTGAGGTTCGCACTGACAAAAAGTTCGGTTTCGCATAATAAACGAATTCGCTATATGAAACGCCAGTTTCTGGTTCAACAATAGAAAAGGGCCCATGTGCATTTGTAAACAAACCGTTCCAAAGCCCGTTCCTCACAAATCGAAGGCCGCCCACACAAACCAACACCATCATCGATGTTTCCCATATCCAATGATGGTGTTGGATTGCGTGGGTGGCCTCCCAAGTAACAATTGTGGTTCTATAAGGGTTCTGAAGACCATGTTTTAGACTTGTAGCATGCTTTAAAACCTCGATAAAACTTGCAATGTTACTTGGGCTTCGCTTTGTAAGTAAAGGGCTTTGGAACGGTTTGTTTACAAATGGTGATGAGCCCTTTTCTATTGTTGATCCAGATTTGTGAACGGTGTTGAGATGTGTTAACATTAATTTGTCGTTTACATCGAAGGCAAGTAAATTATTATTTATCAAGCAAAATAACTTGAAAATTAAAAGTGATCGACTCCGCACCACTCAGGTGTTCAGAAGTATAGCAAAATTGTACTAAACTCATCTGTTGGATAAAACGGTTCATCGAGATTTCAGAAGAATTTTCATAGCTTTCGCATTGCTAAATCTGGGAATTGTCAAACTCTAAAATTCCACGGATTATGAACGAGAAAATACTCAATCTAAAATAAGTTGAACCATTTTATCCCTCGTCAGTGTTCTGGACTGTATTCTCCTACGTGTGTAACAATTCTTAAAGCCACGGCTTACACAAACCAGGCTAGCTACTCCGCTCCTGTAATTTTGTGTTTGACGTCATCAGAATCAGTGAAAAATACATTGTTAATATACATCAATTTTCATCTTATACATCTGTGGTCTAAACACACACGAAACGCAATGGAAAATGCAACCACAATCACATCACCGGTTTAAAAGTCTCTTGCTCTCGAATGTGGCATCCGTGGTGCTGATTTTCTGAGCCTTAGCAAATTCCTGCCGAAGTAACGGCTTTCCACTCCTGTTCCCACTTCGTAGGATCTCATCGGGTAGCGAAGAAAACCCCCCGAAGGGACCGGCTACGATGGTCAAGCTTGTATTGGATGTTCGATGTCAGGAAAAGGGAACTGCTGTCAGGACACGAAACTATCAGGATCCTCTACAACATCAAATACAATTTCTTAGAGTTGCTTGAGTTCCGGGTTTGCCACCTTGTGCCAAAACCCGAATGAATTCAAATCCCGTCTGAAACGTCGAAAACCCGAGAGCTGTGAAAAAATGTTCCCTTCTACACTATTAACTTTAACTATTCTGATGACATCACTTCGGCCTATTTCGATTGATACATAAGCTCTGAACCATTTGGTGGATTATTTTAACTTTTGGGTAAAATTTGACAGATCGAAAGTTATCGATGAACCCTGCTATCCGAGCATGGTTATTTCTGACAGACAAGAAGTTGAATTTTGACAACGGTGGGTCGAAAACCGGTCGATCGACAACACGGGGATTTTCGAACATAGAAAATAACTTTCAAAATGTCACTTTTAACCACGAGTTAATTTTAACTCGGCAAATGGTTCACAGCCTTACTCTCTAATGAGCTAGCCTGGTATATGTAAGCCGTTCTTTAAACTATTGAGGCTGTGAACCATTTGCTGAGTTAGTGGTTAAAAGTGACATTTCGAAAGTTATTTTCTATGTTCGAAAATCCTCGTGCTGTTGATCGACCGGTTTTCGAGCCACAGTTGTCAAAATTTAACTTCTTGTCTGTCAGAAGTAACCACGCTCGGATAGCAGGGTAATCGATAACTTTCCATCTGTCAAATTTTAACCAAATGTTAAAATAATTCGCCAAATGGTTCAGAGCCTGAGTAGCACCCAACAACCAGCAACCGTATTCGAAATAATGGAGTGTTAAATAACATTCCGTCCCGCACTGAGATTGGATCTCATTACCGAGCAAATATTTGGATTTGTAACAATCTCTGTCCCATCTGCCTGTGTAGACACTAATAAATGCGAATTCTTGAGAAAAACGGTTGCAAAGCGATGTAAAGTGGCACGTAGGCGTCACCAAATAAAGAGAGAAAAAAGTACCTGCAAATATACTTTGCAAGCGGTAAATGATGAAATTCGAGACAAAGTTCCGAGGATTATCGATTTATGAGGGATTTTCTGTTACAATAAATCTATTCTGACTGGACTAATTGGATGCTGGATACGTGAGTGGACGGGAGCGTGTTGCCGCGATGGCTTTTGGTGAAAAGTTTTCTAAAGCGTGCACTTACCGTAGCGAATACTTGCGACTTCCGGTCGTCGGAGGAGGAACAAATTTCGATGGAAGGGTGTATAGACCGGTCCCGTACTCGGTCACCGGAAGGTGAGTTTCCGAGCGCCATTGCTGTGAAAGGGCTGTGATATCGGTTTGCGCTGCCCGGGAACGTTTGGCTTCTTCGCTGGAGGCGAAATTGTGCGGTGAACTGTCTGCAGCTGTCACCGTTCGAAGGGTTTTACCCGGTGGAAGATACTGATGTGGTGAGTAGGTGCGAGGACTTCGGGAAAACTTCACTGCTAACGGGCTACGGTTGGAAGCCGTAGCCGGTGAGCGTGACCCCGTGTGGATGATAGGCCTGTGTGAAGTGAATCTCAATTTTGGGAATCAGAAATTTATCACCCTCAACTAACCTGTACGCCGGAGGGTTGGGACAGGTATTCCTCCTGCCCATGTCCAGAATGTTGTCCTCCACAATACCGCACTTGGAAATATCCGTCTCGATCAACACGTTGTAGTTAGTCCATCGTTTCCCCAAACCACTAGTAGCACCAACGTCGAAACTATCGTCCCTCTGCACTTCCCCTCCCCCGTAATCCAAACTGTTATCCTTCTCCAAACTGGAGGACTTGGTTCTAAACTCCAGACTCTTCTTCGTGTTTTCAACATTTAGCGAATCCTGACTCTCTAAGCTTTTCTCTTTCGACAGTAGATTTTTGCGAGAACCCTCCCCTTCCACTACTTCACTATCACTTCGTTCAATCGAATTCTTCTGACTAGATTCCTGATCCGAAGAGAGGTGCTTGTACTTAATCAACACAGGAGTTCCCGCCTGTCCTGCTTCCTGCCATGGTTCGTAGTCCGAAATGGATACCAAGTCTTCTTGAATTATGTCCTTGTTATCGTCTGAAGAGAATATCAACTCGATATCGTCTACTTCTTCTTGATTTTCGGATTCACTCTTTTTCACTGAAGTCCTCGGTTCCGGTGCCGTATATCCGGTTGCACCTTCCTGGTCGGCTTCTACCGGAGTTGTGACGTCCTCTGTGAACACCGAGTTATCTCCTTCCGAAATAGATGGATTACTCTGTCGATCAACATCCACATGAAGATTCTCCGAGGAAGTCTGCCTAATATTGATGCCTTCGGTAGACCTTGTCACGCTCAAGTTTTCTTCGTTCGTCAAATTGATCTTCAAATTAGAAGCATCACCTTTGATGAACTCTTCCTTTACCGTCACATTATCCGTTCTATCCTCAGCGATCGTCTTGTCCTCATCTTCCGGAGTTTCGGAAGCATCCTGCTCCTTCGCCTCAATGTCTTCCTTACCCGTTTCGGAGCTATCCGCTTCCGAGCTACTTCCGTCAACGTTGATGTTCGACGACACCTTGATCTTCACGTCGATTCTGGATGCCATTGCTGAGTGGCCACTTCCCGCTGCTGGGTGTGAAATAATTTGAATATCCGGAATTACAGACACCTTCTGGTGGCTTTGCACATCCCTCGGTTGGTGTTTCTTTTTAGACGATTCTTCCCGCACTTCCTGCACCGTCGGTGTACTCTCGTCTTCTTCTTCTGCGGGACCAGTATTGGATTCTTGATTACTTCTTCTTTTTTTCAGCTTCTTTGGCTTTCGGTCTGGCGGTAGCTTGGACTCTTCCGTTTCCACACTGGTATTCAAATTCTTCGGAGTGCTGCCGTAGGTGTGACTGTTGTAGTCTTTCAGAAAGCCTCGACCTTCTTCGACGACGTCCCGAACGTTGATCTGCTTCTGAAGCCGTTCGTTCTCCCGTCGGGAATCCTCTAGGGCCGTTCGTAGCGATACGATCGTCTCGTGCAGAGCCCTTATAGTGTCGAAGGGCCGGACGTAGGACCTTGCCGACGAGCTGGAATCGGTACTGTACGGGCAGTAAGATCCCGGACCGGTGAGGGACGGACCGGCGCGGTCCATCGGAGGAAACAGGAGTTAAGGGGATGGTGGCAGCGGTGGGTGTTGAGAAGGTCCCAATAGTTATTCATTGCTACGGACGGGGTGTGGTGACGTTCTGGAATGGAGAAGTTGAAAAAAGTGATAAATGATTAGAACTTTCTTCAAAGCATGTGAAACTATTTAATTTTCAAAAGTCATAATTAAATTGTTAGTCAACGGCCTTGCTGTAATCTACCAACAACAATCTGGTACTTTCCACCGTATCCTCAACAAATCATGTTGCTTTGGCTTCGTTTATCCGATTAGCATTCCAGTCAACTCGCTATCGTAGCTTTGAATACATCTCAATACTAACGGCGGCGCCGCCCCCCTTTCATCGGATTGGTGATAGGAGGAGCACAAGTTTTCTTTTCTTAGCATCGCAATAGGAATCCAGGGAATTGGCACGTGTTCTCTCCCGCTCGTAGACGAGTAGGTCTTCATCCGCATGGTAGTCTAAGGCTTGCGGTCTTCGCAACCGTTAAAGTTTTCCCGACAAGGTCACTGCTGGGTGCACAAAATGAGAACGGGGGAACATTCCCGTTTGAAATGAATGTTTTCTTTCCGAGTTGGGTATTTCTATTTGTGGGCAAAAGCACCCACGCGGCTAGGAACACTCTCGACTTCTTTCCACCGACTGCACTTGATTCCTGGTGGACCTCGCTCGGTATGTAAAGACCATCCATGCATACACAGGAAATGAGATTAAATGCTGCAGCTCTGTGAATGAAAACATTCACAATGGCCATTCAATTTCACTTTCCATGGAAGAAGCGTTCGTTTGGGATGTCTCGTTGCTTGGTAATTAAATAAATACAGAAATCGCTTTGTCCGTTTGAGTGCAAATGCCCAGGTGTAGTCTGATAAGTTGAACCATGAAATTAACCAGTGTGAGGAACTTTACACTGCTGAATATGAAAGGACAAATTTACATCCCGATGTGGGTAACATTCCAACTATGAATTCGATTAAATGGGAGCAAGGAATTTTTCCATCACAGGAATTGATCTAAAATTTGAAATTGATAGCGGACCGGAACCATTTTGGGTTCCAATTGACCAAAGCTCGTAATAACAGGAGCAGGAATATAAGTTTTTTTTTTCGATTCGATCCACGTCCTTTCATCCCCGAAAAGGCGAAAGGTCAACGAAAAGGACACTGCCTTGACAAGGAAAAATACGTACATGTACTCTTACAACACAGGACAGGATATATACGAGTTCGTGTCTACGTGATTTTGCTGGCCAAGAATCCGTCCCTTCCGAATAAGGTTTCAAGTTTTTTCCTTGGAGCTTGAATTGGCGTACAGTCTGTAAATACGCGTTGGCGCTGTTGGTAAATATAATGCATTTCCAAATAAAAACGGTAAAAATAAAGTCATTTTTGCTGCGACCCATTCAGATTTCAATTAAATTTTGCACATAAGTCGGTTGCTACCCAAGGTGATATTTTCCATGAATTTTTTTTTATTCAATCATGTCGAAAATCTCATGTAATTTTTAGGGCCATAAAAATAAATAAATGCAGTAAAAGCATTGTAGTCAGTTTATGCACTGTATTTATGATAATTTTGTCCTTCTTGGCAAGTAATATTACACCATAGCTTTGACACGATTGAAGTGCATCCACTTTGATGTGATATCAAAATTAATGTTTTGCTGTGTTGTACCGGACTCATTTTTTATAAGGGCTTATATATTTTTTTTGTTATCTACTTTATTTGTACAGGCTCAATCGAATAAACTGTACAGAGCCAATTTCTCATTTTCTTATGTCTTAAATCTAAAATTAAAGGATTTGACCGATTACTCGGAAATTTGGAATATGATTTATATAAGGGCTTATATAAGAATATGTTTTATTAAAAAAAAAACAACTTGAGAACAGTAAAATGATGTTTGAGAATAAGTTGTATAGAGTATAGTATACGGTAAGAAAAAAACGCTCAAAATTAAGTATAAAAAAATACTCAACGTTGGATTCTATCGAGAATAATCAGACAACTTTGTACATTTCAGGAAAATGTCCAAAACTTCATCGAAGATCTAGAGTAGTTTGTAGGAGAACTTCAGAGTAGTTCTGACGAGAACTGAGTTCTGAGGAGAACTTCATAGCAGCTCTGAGGATAATTTCAGAGTTGTTTTGAGGAGAACTTCAGAGTTGTTCTGTGGAGTGTTTCAGAGTAATTCTGATGAGAACTTTAGAGTAGCTCTGAAGAGACTGAAGTAGTAGTTCTAAAAATAATTTCAGGGAAGTTCCAAGAACTCCAGAGAAGTTTCATTGCCCTCAGGAAAATTTCGGGAAATCTACTCCCCGGGAGCACCCGGAACCCGGAATGTCTGGCCAGCGTGGTCCTGAGTACCTAATATGGCCACCAATGATCATATATTTGAATTCTCATGTAACTTGAAGTGTCGCATGTGGGTGTTGGTTCAAGAGGAATCCGACCACTTCCCCGAGAGAACCCGGGATATATCTTGATGCATGGTTCTGACTACTAACTACGACCTTGGATGATTATTTTGTTCACGTCTTGAAGGTTCTGGTTAACTCAAAACTGCACCACAAAACAACCGCAGCGCGTTGTTTCAAAATAAAAACGCGTTTTAGTACAATTCCGCTTTTGCCGCAAACACGCTCATTGCAGGTTGTCAAACGGATTTCAGTGTATTTAAAAATTTGCGCTTGTCGTTATGCCGCTATCATTGTGTTCAGCCCTTTGCTAGCTTCATCCATCATACTATAGATACTATAGATTCCATAGATAAGCGGAGGCACAGTTGTTTTGGCAACCATGGAAAATAAATGATCTAACTGGCATCCGTGAATAATGTTCAAACCATCATAGAGCTCTTCGTTGTGCAGTTTTGTTTTGTTTCGTGCGAAAAAGTTCAAAATGAAGTGCAAAGCAAATCTTTGCAACAATGAATCGAGGAGTGGTTTGCATTATATTTCTTCTTCCATTTCTGGGAAATGAATCAGAATGTGGAGTGTGGAAAGCATTTTGTGCTCATAATATTACAATACCTCCCCCGTAAAAAAAACACAATGATGACGTCATACTCGTTTGGCTGCACTAACTGACACTTCGTTTGGCTACATTTTACTTTTTTCCGCTTATCTATGGAATCTATAGTATCTATACATCATACGTCAATTCAAAAACGATAAAGTTGAGTGATGTGGACTGGACTGTAGAGTACACGGCCAATAGGATCTACCCAACTTTGAGTTACTCATAAATCGCAAAAAGTGCAGGAACTCGCGAAGAGTAAATTTGTCTCAAGTTTTTCAGGTTTGTCCAAGTTTTTCCAGAAAAAAATTCCCGAATATGAGAAGAGTAAAGATTGGATTCTCTCAATCTATTGGTACTACTCTCAGACTGAGTAAAATTTTTGACAGTTTTCCTCATTTTCCGGCAGATTTTTGAGGTTTTCCACAGAAAAGCATAAGCCAAATTCCTTCATCGCTGAGTTCCTGTGCTTTTTGCGATCATGAGTTAACTGAACTCAAATTTAGGGTGATCTCATTGTTCGTGCATCCGTTTATGTGGAATGGTTGGAAAAATTTGTGACTATGGCATGGCCAAACACTCCCGGGTAACTAGCTCAGTAGCATTAGACCCCTGAACTGTGTCGCAGGGCCGGCGTGTTCTTGGGTATTCGGAGGGGCTACGCGGACAAAGTATGAAAACACAGGAATATTCGCATTTTCTAACATTCATTGCCCTTTCCTGTGGCGTGTTGGTGTGGGTTTTCACATATATGTAGCGTGTATGCAAGGGTTTAGAAAATTTAGTACTCCCTGGTGCAGTGGGATCTCCTACGACTTCACGACGCTGGCGTTGGCTCTCACGGCTGCTCCTGCACCACCGTGTGGCCGGAAACTTGCAACGCGGGCTGCAAACAGCGTTTTGTTGCTGAATTGGGATAATGGCGGATATCGTCAACCACGAACGGCCCAGCAGGCGTTGATGGCTCGTTTGGCTGGTAGACGTCTTCCTTCTTTGGTGGAAATCGGCTGACCATGGCCAGCAGCCTGAGGGAGACGGCATTTGAGGACGACATAGGTATGTTGCAGTTAGGCTCGGAAGCCTTCTTGACTTCCGAGCCACCGTGTGAGACCGTTTATGAATATGGCACGAGGTGTACAAGATGTACAAGAGCACAAGAGGTCCCGAACGGAGGCAGTCCTTCCATCCCGAGCCCTTAAAGGGGGGTATTAACCATTGTTCACACGGACGCCTGTTTACTTCTCTACCTAATCTTCCAAATCTAAGATGGCTATCATCATCAAATTTGCGCACCCATTGTTATTTTAAAGCTAAGATTTTCCTCCCTTCAGTAACGTTCTTGTTCTTTGCAGCGGTACAAGCCCTCTCGCTCTTGTGTGTGTCTTCTGTTTTAGGTTTAACACAATGTGAATTTTCCCTGCCAATAATAACTCATACAGACGAAAATCCACGGATTGTAACCAACTGGTTACAAATTAGTGCATGATGTTGTCCGCCATGGTGAGTAATTTATAGTGGTTGTAAATACTAAACACTATAGAGATTTGATAGATAATTAATGTTACCGATATTATTCAGATTTCACTCCCGGATTTGTAAAACACCGTTTCCTTCGGTGACGAAGAGAAAACAAACATTACTTTATAAAATATAAATATATACAAACATTCGATGAATGAAACAAACTTCATATGAATTTATCTTCTACTTCTAATTTTTCATAGTGCTGAGTAAAATATATAATATTACGTCCAAGAGAATGCACTTCAATCATGTCGAAAATTTTATGTAATTTTTATGGTGCTCAACTTTTTGGCTCAGCTCTGGTACTCTCTTTGGTCCCAAGCTTATCGATGCACCCCTCGAAACATAGGAAAATCCACTAGCCCCTCATTATATCTGTCAAACTTTCAAAGCGAATCAAATCAAACATAGTGTACTACTAGAATTTCGACTAGAATGGGCTACGTTAATCGATTTGCTTGGGACTAAGAGCAACCGGTGGAAACTAACGATTTTAAATTGGCTCACTTCTTGACTACCCTATTGGTCCCAAGAAAATC